ATGCTGATGTCCACGGCAGGTGAACCCGGCGAGGACTCCCGGCTGCAGATGGGTTTGGACCAGTCCAAGCTGCTTCAGAGTACATTCAAGATGCCTGACCTGTGCGCCAACGCGTCTGTGATGACCGCAAGATTGCCGCTGAACGAGAAGGCTGTCCAGACCGACGTAATTTTCTGTACTCCTGACATACAGGCTCTTCTTCTTCATCTCCTGAAGCCGCAGGATGACGGTGCCTACTCCTCCCTTGCTGGTTTTCCCGAATTTGGGAGCTCGGAGGGCGAAGCCGTACTGGATTTGACCCCCAGCGACCCCAATTCCATGATCCTGGTTTCTCCCGAAAAGTCCGACGATTCGGGTCTCGGCTCGGAACCGATCGCCGATCGCCGCTTCATGAAAGAACTGGATTTCGATACGTCGCCGGAGGACCGGGACGAGAGCGAGCCCCGGCGCACGGCCGTTGTGGGGCAACGCTACTGGAGCAGCAGCTTCATTGTGGATCTCCTGGCGGTGGCCGCGCCTGTCCTGCCCACCGTGGCCTGGCTGTACGCGACTCACCGGGGAAGCTCAGCTCCAGTGTACAACATCGGGGCCCTGATCCGTGGTTGTTGTGTCATGGGCTTATACTCTCTCCGCCACATGCCCCACCCACCCGGTGTTTAATGCTTTTGTCTGCATGCGAAGACTTAAAATTGAGAGCACTTCGGAGATTGGAGAGATTTTATATAATGTAGAATAAATCTATATTTTCTTTGCCACCCTCTTAAGTTTTTTATTTGCACTATTTACGGTTGCTCTTGATGGAGGCAACACGAGGACAAAAGGGGGATCTGCAGCATTAGCCGCGGTTGTAAGAAGGTGGATCGAAATGTATCAACTGTGCGGGCAGTCGGATTGACAATACATTTTGTGAGGTTGTGCGTTTTTCTTTTTCCTGCTCCAATCTTTTCCCCCCCGTTTTTTAATAAAATATTTATTTTCGTGGAGAAAAGGGGTTCCAAAGGGGAGCGATGAGGAATTGAATGCGTTTTATTTTATTTTGCAAGTTAACGAAACTAAGTTGGGCTCATAGTTTGAAACTAGAGCTGTGCTGTCCACGTTAAAAAAAAAAATAAATAAAAAAATAAAAAAAAAGTCCAAAACTTGTAGCCAAAGCTTAAAAGTCCTTTGCCATTTGCGTTTAGTGAGATGTTTGGGTTTCTTTGGTGATTTTCTTTCCTGTGCTGTATTGTTTATTATGTAAATGTTGCTGCTTAATTTCAGCTGACATGTTATGTGCCTGAACCATGTGCAATACTGTTTTACTGTTTACACTGATGTCCTAAAGTATTTATTATTAAAGCATGATAACTCTATCTCTTTTTGTAGTCATTTTTTCTCTAAGAAGATTTCATATTGCATGTACTTTTTCTACACCATGTGCTTTATATTCATATGCCTATTCTTGCAGCTGAACAGATGGCAAAACCATCTGTAAGATTCACTTTACAGGAACGACACTGGCAAAAGTATTTAACATGCTTTGTCATCTGTGGTAGTCCGATTTTAGATCAAGCTCTTTGAACAAACAAATCATAATACATTTGTACTAGACAAAAACAAACATTTTTCTAGGTATAACCTACAGAAGGTCTGTATAGGAACATGCAGTGTGTATCTCTTAATCTTCTACACAAACAAGTCTCATGATTTCTTTCATAAACATTCATTACTGAACAGGTGCAGTAAGTATAAAAACCCCTGAAATGAACAGATTTTCAATATACTGGAAATAACACAAGAAGATGGGGGGGAAAATGGGAAAAGGTGAAAATCTGCTGAAAAGTAACAAGGTTTTAATTTGAAGAGAAATGTTATACTAGCCATTGTCCTATGTATTTTGCCTAACTGTGGCCTCTCTTTTGTCATTTTAAGATGAGACAGATTACTTAGAGGTAAAAATCATTGGCTGTAAAATATCACAAGCATAACCTGGCCAAATGTCATGGGAATGCATGAGGAGATTGGATATGTATAATTCAAAGGTTTTTATCAAGAGGAAGTGAAAATAAAAGTGAAAGGCGCTTTGATCCTTAGAGTGCAATATTAGTGAAATTAATGCAGTACACTATATTTATTTGGAGTTGCAGAAGAATCTTATTGCACTGATGATCTGCTTTATATTGTATAAAAACTTAAATCGGGGAGTTGCAAAATTCTCATTGGATTAAACTACAGCCTAATGTAAGGTGTACAATGTACTGTATGTTCATAGAAAGCAACAGAAAAATGTGGGTACTGGAAAGAATCGTAACAGGTTTTTATGAGAACGCTTCAAGCAAGAATACTCCAATAGATAACTTTTAGGATACATCTGGTGTGGATTTAAGAGTTTCCTCAGTATAAGACATGGACTTCTAAAGGGTTAAATGTAAAAAAAGGCAAAATGTCAGTTTCTGGATTACATAAAACTGGTGAACATCTTTCAAACAACTCAGCACAATGTCAATTTTAACTTTGATGCACTCCATCATGTGAGGTACTGCAGCATTGTGGTCTTTTCAGGTGGTGTCGAAGTGAAATTTGAGCCTTTTGATAGTTAGTCTGGTACTTGAGAACTCATAATCATTTAGAATAAAGACTTTATAGCTGAGAAAGATGTTTTATTTTATGAATTGATCAGAAGCCTAGGAAAAGACATAAGAAATCTGTGAGGTTTAGGATATTCTAACCTAACCAGCAATGTTTTAAAGATAATACTTAAACCTTATTTGTCTTGATCAGGCCTAAGTGAAAAACATGAATATTGTAATGTATTGTAATGTTTTGTTGGATCAAATTCATATTTGGGAGTGATGTGACATTTTTCAAAACGATAGTTACAAGGCATAAGCATGTCATAGATATGTAAGGATATCATATGTCCTGTTTTTCCTGGATATGTCCTTCTTTTTTCCTTCCTTTAATCTCTGTCCTGGAGAAAATTTCGAACCTTTTAAAACATCTAAGATTTTCCCCTTAAATCGATACAGTATTTTGATGAACTTTCAATGAAGGTGAAATTGCACTGAGACAAATTCAAACGAATTGTGAAAGTTATTTTATTTAAAAATTGCACAGGAAATAACACAACAGACAGCAATGCACTTTTGTTTCAAACACTTGCAGAGTAATGAAGACTTTGCTATCAGATTGAAACTAGCAGAAATGTTTGGTTAGGTGATGAGCTCGATTACATCCTATTTACAGAACACATGGGTATTTACATTAATACATCAAATATTAAATCAGGGATACACAGCATGTAGCAATAACAATTGCTAACAATTGTGACAATGTTTACAGTTTCTATTGCTTCACTTTTTATATTTTTTAAAATAAATTTCCTATTGCTTCACTTTTTTATTTTTTTTTTAAAATACAGTACACCTTTTGGTGAACTGCTTTTATTAACGATGTGATGTGAGAGGAAACTAGAACATTCAGAAGAACGTGGTTTGTTGGACAATATGAAAGGATGACAGTATCTCCCAATTCCACACTGCTCATTTAAGAGCAACATTCTGGAGAAGAGTGTGCTTACATGGTGGTTATGAGACAAAGCCTCTTTTTCATTTCATTTCATGCCATTTGAGCTGGCCAAAAGGGATGCCACTGTACATAACTTAATACTTTAGAGTAACCCATATACAGTAATAGACATGAACCTTTCTGAAAAGAAACGCCTGTTGCTGAAGCACTGTACACGTCTCCATTAGGTATCTAGTATAATGCAGACCGAAATGTAATTCCCTTAAGAAGTGAGTACCACAGAAATGCATTAGACATCTTGAATAGTAATTGTGTTTTTCCTCCCCTGCTGTAGTGAAACATGCTAAGAACAATTAAAAGGACTGCTCACTGAAAAATGGGTGGACAAGTAATTTTAAGCGTATAACCCGGCTTTTATTCTGATAAATCGATACTGGAACTGGAACTTATTCCACTGTCTCTGATAAAAACAGCCCATGCCGTCAACTCATGGTTAAGCTTGGGAATATGGAAAGTGTGTTGAGGTTTTGGTTTTCTGCGCCAATGCTTTAAGTGTGCAGGAAATCTTCTTGTTTTTGTCCTGCATTTTATAACACAGGCAGCTGAGGAGGAAATTCGTCAAAATTCAAAATTACATAATTTTGTCTCATTTAGGAAGATCACTTAAATAAAGCTGAACAGCATAACACTTCTCTCCACCAAGAAAAAACACTTCACTACTCTTATAAAAAGTAATAGTAATTCATATAACCTGCTCACATGTATGATTGGTTGACAAGAAAATGTGTGTGTTGTCACAGAAATACACTACACTCAAGTCTTATATTCACAAATTTTTGGTATATTTTAATGTATTAAAAGATTTATGACTATTAAACAAGGACCATGACAAGATGGAGTTTTGTTTTTTTAATTAATCTCGTCTAATTCTATATTACAAATCACTTGATATTTCTACATAACCTGAGAGATTCTAGCAATACTGATGGCACATTTCTACAACAAAGAAATCACCCAGGAATCAATACATTGCAGTACAAAAATAAGACAGGGAAAATGGACAATGCAATAAAAAAACAGCTCTTCAACGGGACCTTAATGCAGTTTTTGCAAGCAGATTCCTAGAGAAATCAGAAGACAAAAAAACTGCACTTACAAAATATTGTATCCAAACTCTCAAACAAAATGTGCTACACAAGGATGACCAATCCCAGTTCAGGGCACCACTAACCCACCACATTCTGCAGGTTGTCCTAAATTCACATGAAACAGTCTAACACTTTAGCTCCATTCGATTCATGCAGTCACTTGGAAACTTGAACTTTGGAATAAAAACACAAACATCCTTCAGCCTTCCAGAGCTGTCCACTCTGAATTTACCTGAAAAAATCATGTGCCATACTGATTAAAAACATGGTTGCCAAAGTTCCTAAATAGATATTTTAGAGTGACTATTGAGAGGTATCCAGGAACAAAACTGCCTCCTGAAAGAAAGAACTTCAAAAGTAACAGTGACCACCAAAATATTTGGAGTTCTGTCCTTGAGAAATAGGCTGCATGCATTCCTGAAAGAGATCACAGAAAAGCTATTATATATTTTACAATTGCCATGAATTCTACAGAATATGAAGAAGAAGCCATGAAAAACTTTCAATGATTTTATTCTGTAGGGACTATTTTTCTGCTCCATGCAACGTTTTGATATCTTGCTGAAGCACACTCAAGACAGCCCTTTTCATAAAATATTTGTTTTTTATATACTAGTTTTTGATTTTAAAAAAGACCGTCAACAAAGGAAGTGTGTATCTTTTTCAGATAAACCCTTTAATGGCTAAACTATATCCTATCTAACCAATCAGCATAAGGACCTGTTAATATTATTGAGCTGAAAGGTCTTCATCAGCAGACCAGACACACCAAACTGACTCCATTTGATTGTAGGCACTTTAGAAGTCTCCTTTGATGCTGACCACATGATGGGTTGAAATTTATATTTAGTGGCTTGGCAATGTAAGAGTCTCAGCTCACATCAAGAGGGCAGTGCTATGATACATGCACAAAAACACACACAGAAGCTCACTCGAAGAACAGAAGATGATTTGTTTTAACTTGATGAACACTGATGAATTAATTTGTTAGTTCATTGTCTTTGAGTCAGAACAGGCTACCATGACAACAATTAATTTGACAAAGCTACCATTTTTTAACTGTACTGTAGGTTGCAGTGAAACTTTGGGCCATAAAAACATTTTTCTAATTAAAACATTGACTAAATTGAATTACTCTGAATTAAAGCTGTGACCAGCTTAATAATTGTAAGAAATCCCACTGCAGTGTTATTCTGTGAAATCAAGACATCTTTTCAAATAATTAAGCACTGGCCATGATGTTGATAGCAAATCACTCTCCAAATCTAAAACAAATCATTTTATTCTTGTTTATAAAGAACCAGATGTCTTATAATAAATAATAAGACAGAAATGAATATTCAATAAGTTTTACCCAAATCTGTCAAATGTATATAAATCAGACACATTTATTTTCCCTATAAAGAAAAAAAAAAGAAACATTTAAATAACACAAAGATAGCAGTTCCCAAATTATAGAATACTTGTTTAATAATCTCATGCATCTCAAGCATCACGTTTTTTTAAAGAAAACATGAAAGCAGGGATTTATATTTCACATCCGCTTTTCATTACCACCACCAGCTTACAATTTTATTTTCCCTTCAAACAGTTGCCCAAATAACTCAAATCTGCTCAGTATTTGGCTCACCCTGCCCCATGTTCTTGTTAAATTAACTGTTGGATGCAACAGTGGTCTTTATTGCCCTCCAGAATGTTTGAGAAGGAATTAAACTTCCTATACAGGTTTACAAATAATCATGCATCTCACACATCATTATTAAAAAAAAAAACACATAAAAACAACTTGCCACCCCCTGTATTTGAAGAGATGATTCTGTTTAAAAAGGCAAAAATTACAAGAAAAGATATCAGTGTAACAGCAATTTTTTTCTGTCTCTCACGTTTCCACACTTCTACAAATTAAAAAAACGCTATTGCACAGCTTAAATTGACTGTTTTAATTTTCTGACTAATTCAGAAATCTCCTGACTCCTTACATTTGACACTACTGTGTCTAAACATGGAGCTTGGGCTCTTTAATAATTAAATTAGCAGGTGGACATTTACTAATATTCTCCAATTTACCTTCATTCTTTACAAAAGACTAGCATTTACGTATCCTTCGGAGAACATTTAAATTATTGGAAAAAAACTTGGCAGTCTTTGAAATGATTGCGATTATATCTAGTCAGAAAATAAGTGACTACAAATAATTTAAAAAAAAAGAAATTGAGTAGTGATCCACTTAGGTCTGGTTCATAACCCCAAGGTTGCTAACACATTCTTAAATACTGCTTTCCAATTCCTGTTCATAACCCACGTAGCCTTTAGAGTTTTGTGCTTTGAAAAAAAAACCTAAAGATGCAAGAATGTACACCACATATCGAGAAACACTACTTTTGAGAGATGTCAGTTTGGTTTCAAACACTTATCAACATTCAACACAGACCAGAGTGCAACAGATGTTTTGATTCAGGCTGGTATCACATGGTACTGATGAATGAATGTTATTCAAGAGATGGGCATCTTGGCAAACTTGTATGCCACTGAAGACAGAGCTCCAGAAAGTAAAAAAAAAAAATAGATTGGTATTTAATTGCTTTAATGAGCTAGAAAAAAAACTGCTCTGAGATGTGTGAGGAACCAAAACCCGATCTCTTTCAAACAAGGATTGCTAGTTTTTGTCATCAAACAATCCCCTGCATGAAAACCTAAGATAAGGTTTTTTACATTTTATTTTACACCTTTAAAAGGTTCATTTTTTTATCATACAAGTCCCTTCAATCAGTTTCAGGGTTCCCAATGACACTTAAAGTGTAATTTGCAAGACTTTTCCATCACATTGTAGTTTTTCTACAACATTACCTTGTCATCACTATGCAAACCCTTCCACATTATGAAAGCAAGTTTGCACCACATCAGAACAGGAGATGTATAATTCAAATTACTTTGGAATAATATCACTTTAACCAAACCAGTTAAACAGTCAAGACTGTGAGTCGGTGTTCATGGGCATGAACACGAAACATAACTATGAAGGTAACTGTCACTTCAGGGTACACGGTATAATTACTATATACAATGCAGCACAAGGTTTGACATGGTGAACTACAGATAATGGACAAAACATGGAAATGCCAAGGAGGCATAAAATCAAGCTTTTCCACAGGTGGGCAGAAGCACAGACTCCAAGATTGTGATATCAAAGCATTCAGTTGAATTGCAACTGCCGATGAAACTGGGAGAGCGAGCGAGCAGAGAGTTTAACCACAAACGGTCCAGTGAGGACTCCAAAGAGGAGGGAGCCACAGTCAAGTTGCAGTGTGCAAATTTATACATCAAACTTGCACGTTTGTGAGTCTACTGGCACCAAGAACACAAGCAATGGACTACTGAGCAGTGGAGAAATGGGACAGTCAGATGAATCATCTTTCACCACGTTCTTGACAAACAGAAGAGTGCACAACTGGTTCCAACCTACAGCCCTGAGTGCTTGCTTCCAACACTCAAGAGTTCTGGGGGTTTTATAATATTGTGAGCCGCCTTTGCCTGGCCTGATATGGGTGCAAGGTCAATGCTTTGCCTGTTGGGAGGGGTGCCTTCCATCGTCACAGTTTCTCCACCCACACAGAACATGTGGTCACCCAGTGGTTTGATGAGCCTAACACTGATCTCACCCACGTCATGTCCTTCTCAGCCACCATATCCAGGAACGACGCCCGAGACAGCATTTTCCACTAGGGGTGAACTGATTGACTCTCTTGTAAGAGAATAATACTTCATCTATCCTGAGTCCTAGACGATGGTAGACTCTATCCCATGACACATACAGTATAGGCCATGTTGCACCTGTTAGCCTGATGCCCTATTTAATGACAGCACTATTTAAGTTCCATTTTTCTGTCCACTAACTAGAGTGTGAATTAATTTAATAGTGAAGATAATAGCAAGCATTTCACAGAATATCATTTCCTTGATATATAATACATACAATTTTTTAGTTTATTTACACTCATTTCTTCAAACACTTCTATACTGTTTTATCATTTTAAGAATGTTGTTTGCATATTTCAATTGTCATTAAAATAAACATACTGTACGCACTGCATTCTATATTCATAGTATATACTACGTTCTTTGGGTGGTTTATACAATGCTGTACAACTTTTAAATTATAACCAGTAGTTTTACAGGCCTTGTATCGCAAGAATCCGGAATCCTACTGAATGTTAATTTAGAAAAGCAAGTCTAAGACTACTGCTAATCAGCCTCAATGTGTTTTTTTTTTAAATTAAGTTTTACCTTTAAAGCACTGGAATTGAACAAGGTGATAAAGAAATAACCAAAAAGTCCACAAGATTGAAATGAACATTTTTCACAGCCCCAGCCTGAAACTTTATAAATAAGACAAAGCAAACATGTTCTTCGGGTGTCCATTTTTATATTTACAATAATTCCTGAAAAATGGCTGCAGCAGAAAAACGTTCTGGTTTTCTAATTACAGTGTATTGTTTTAAAATCAAGCCACAGACACCAGAATGACAGATAAAGGCTGCTGGTGGAATTGTAGGGGACACAGTGGGTTATGAACTGTTACTACCTTATCAAAACCTATTATGCAAAAGGATGGCAATTTAATGTAATCCGGCATGTTTCTGGCTTACAGCATGTCCAGGAATCATTTAATGTTATGAAAGCTTGACGGCAATTTTCTGTTCCTTTTTTGATAGTCTTTGGGCTTCCTTTTCCAGTTTCTTCCGCTGTTGTTCCAAAGCCCTTTTCTCCCTTTCTGCCATTTTCTGCTGCCTGTTATGAAAATATGAAAAACAAATGCGTTCAGTCTCTCCGCAGATCTGACTTGTCTCTTCTACATCAAGGTCAGTGCAAATGATCATCCCTAATAAACAGAAAACGCAGGACTTAAAGGGCTGGCCCATTTCATTTCAGAGCTCAGAGGTCTGCTGCCAATCAGCTATGCAACATTTATAGAGAGTCTGTGGAATACCCCCACTACCAACCCTGAACAAATATCGAAGTAGAAACTCTCTGAAACAATATGTCACTCCTTACAAATAAACTGGCTCACGTTAGCGCTTTGGGGGGGACAGAGACAAAAGGTTTAGAGGATTAAAAAGAATTGATTTTGCAAAGGTTGGATTGGAAACTAAACCTCAACATTTCACGCTTGATGGAAGGAGGTGGTTAGGGAATGTGGTTAAGGAAAGATTGTAAAAACTGGTTTCAGAGTCAGTGCCTCACAAACTGAACATGCTGTGAAACATTTGCAAACACTTTAAGAAAATGTTTTGTTGGAACAGATTATTGTCCTGATAAAAGGAATTAACAACAAAATCAAAGGTCATGGCTTATTTAACAGGCATTGGACACGTTTCCTGTGTTGGTGAGCAGCAGGTCCTTAGTTCTGAAAACAGCAGTAAAGCCATAAGATAAAGACTCTTTCACATTCCATTTTCGCAGATTATCTCTGTGCAATCCAACAATATGCCCTCAATCTTGTAAGATTATAGGAAGCGATCTGTGATAATACGGCTTTTTCATAATTGTATCATGACTTCAGTTACAGATCTGCGACTTAACATATATTCAGCATATGACACCATAACTTATTAACACTTTCTTATTGCATAGAAGCAAAGGAAATTTAGAAAAACGTTAAGGGAATAAATCGCACAGACTTAAACCACAGATAAATAGGAAGAAAATGGAAGGCAATCATCCTTGTCTGTGAGAGAAGGCAAAGACCACAACAACTATTAACCACATCAGTTCTTTCCAGAAATAAATACAAATTCATTTACCTGCTGTACAAAATCTTTATGTATGAACTATAACATCAAGTAAAAAATTACAGTTCTCTCTAGATTAGGTTTCAGATTTCAGTAACATGTTAGATGCAATTCACAGTGGAAATGTAGACTAATTCATTATACAATGCAACCAAACAGTGTAAACCCTTTTTTTTCCCCTAAGCACTAAAAAATGCTCTTTGTAAATACAGTATGAATAAAAAAAGATGTAATATGTTCTTATGTTCTCATGACTCATACTGGAATTGAATAAGGTCTCACTAGAGCAGCTGTACTTTTCAGAACTGAGCCCGAGTTAAGCCTGTGGTTTCTGTGACGATGGAAACAGGGCCTTGCATAACAAATTACGCAGAGGGTGAGGCAGCTTTCCCACATCAACGTTCAAGTCAAGTTATAGTGCCATCTGCTGACAGAATGTACTATTTGGCCTGCCTGAACTTTTTCAGTCCTCATGAGTGCCAGTTTCTTCATATCGTTTGATAGACTTGGCCACAGCAGTTACTGGCACTTGCCAAGTTCCTACAATTTGTCTTAAAGATTGACCTTCATTTCTTAAAATAAATACACTGCCTTTTTTCCTTGCTTAACTGAGCACATTTTGCCATGGTCATTCAGGAATTACAGACTTTTGCTGATGCTCCCTATATTTATAGTAATTATGGACCCTCACCTGCTTATCAATAATTGGTGACAAAAGGTAAATGAGTTAACATGCGAGTTAACTGTGAGAACATCTAACAAAGACAATTTTAAACTTCTTTTAGTGTTTTAACACCATGTTATACACATTTCTGACTTTTAACTAACCTGGTTTCAACAGGTGTACTCACACTTTTGAGGGGTACTGTAAACGGAATTAGTTGGAATGAAACTGTAACAGTTGCAAGTGAACTGGTTTTGGCCTCCTAGTCTCATTTTATAAAGCCTTATCACTTGAGTCTTTTTAATCTGACAGTCCTGCCCAGATACCGGCACACATCCGCCCATCCATTCTCTGATCGCTTCTTCCAGTTCAGGGTCTATGGAGACCCGGAGCCTAATCCCAGCAAGCAGTGGGTGCAAGGTAGGGCACTCACAGTCACACACCACTCAATTCTTCCCAGAAGCTGAACAACCAAACAGTGTGTGTTTGGACTGTGGGAAGAAATTGGAGCCCCTGCAGGCAACCCATGTGAACATGTGGAGAACATACAAACTCCACGCAGACAGTACCTGAGGCCCAGAATTGAACCCAAGGCCCCCGCACTGCGAGGCAGCAACGGTCACCCCTGAACCACCATGCCACCCTTATCTTAACACAAACACCTGAAAACAGCAGGTACCTTAATACTTCCTCAGCGTCCCAGGCGGCATCGGCCTCGTCTTCCCAGGCATTGGAATCTTCCTGCCACGTGTGTAAATCTCCAAGCTCGGCCTGGCGAGAAAAGCAGCAGAGCGAGCACTTTAAAGAGAACGTCATTCTCGGTCTGGTCAAAATGATACAAGGCGCTAGTAAGGGACTGTATAGAACTTCAATAAAAATAACTTGCTGCTGCTCTGGAGTCAGTTCAGGAGTGGCCAGGTGCACCTCTTTGTTTTTTTTTTATAGGAATGTCCTGCTCTGACACGCTAAAAAAAAAAACCTCCCGAGTCTTGAACTGAGAAGACTACAATGGAGGCCTGAGTCCAAGACTTGCAATTACAAGTCAGTCCATTGGACATCTTCAGAACCACGAGTGGAGAATACCAAAAGACAAAGGTAGAGACTACAGGGAAGTGTATTTAGAACTGATACCAGGAATCCCTTTTCTCACCGAGTCTTCCACAAGCCAGGCTTGTCAGAACAGACTCCTGGGATTCTTTCAAGAAACGGCTGAATGAGATACCTGGATCTCTTAATCACCAGCTACCAACTGAGACAGACAGGCCGAATGGTGTTCTCTCGATTATGATCTTATTTTCACAAATATCAGCAGTAAGCATAAGCGAATGTATATGACTGAAAGCAGCCATGCTAATACGCTGTTGTCAATAATAAACAAAGCTTGTTTTGTAACTTTTAGGTTACGATTTTTTAAAAATCTAATAAAGACTATAATGCCGTTAAAAGGGATTTTTTAGTGTTGTTAAAATGAGGTGAGAACGGAGATCCCTGAAGATTGCACTTAGACATGGCTAAGAGATAAGAACATGATGCCTGTTACCACCAATAATGATGGGATGGCCTATAAAAGTTTAATTCTATGAGTGAAACCTGAGCCCAAACATATTGTCTCAAACCAGGCAAAAGCCTTCTCAGCGTTTATTGAAAGAATGGCATGGGAGAGGCAATGTAGATGTCAGAAAATAGTATTGAACGAGATGTCACTTAATGAAACCTGTGTGTGGTGAACTAAATTCATCCTAAAGGCCTCCATCCATCGTTATGACAACCTAGAGTACTAAAGCTAAGACATTAGACGACATCATGGAGACAGGAAGAGAGATTGTAACATCTCTCTAAAATTAATGTTTCTGTCATCATTTAAAAAATGGACATCATTGGAGCCACAAAATCAGTTAACTGTATAAATCTGAGAGCAATGTTGTCAATACTAAATGTTCCCTGTCATACGCTGCATTGCCTCCTTTTGGGCGTCAGCGCCTGTAGATCTGCTAGAAAGGAAGTACATTGTTCTTCACAGAGTAGATGTCTGATTAAAAATGAGTGTCTTGAGTTCTATAAGCAGATATTGTACAATCAGAATCACATCTAAAAAACACTTAACTCAGATATCTCCTGTTCCAGTCTAGGGGGCTTTATAAATAAGTCTAAAAATGAAATTGTCAATTTCAAGATGTTAAAATCAAGAGAAATAACAGGTTGGTTGAGATTAGTAGGTGATTTACAAGACTATACAAAAACCAGAGATTACTTGGTTCAAAAATCAGAACACCATTCAGCCTTTGAGGATCAGATTCCCTTTAAGTGAACAGGTTACTCGCTTAAATAATAAGCAAGTGTTGCTATGTGGTAGAGGTTGTTTATCTGAAGTGACGTATATAACAAATTTATTTGGGCCATCCAGTCCCAGGGCTCGAGATCTCTGGCAATTACCAAACTAATTTAGAAACAATTCTCTTTTTTACAATATTCTTACCTAAATGAGATTGCCAAGACAAAGGTTTAAGGACAGTGCCGATGTCAACAGGGAGAGATATACATCTTTGACTTCAAACCTCAGCTGGTCGTACTTACAGAAGGCTGATTAAAAGACATGTCCTGGGTGACTGCTAGCCTGCTGGAGAATCCCGCATTGCTGTCAGAGACGGCGAAATTCATTGGATCCCTCTTTTTCAGGACAATCTGATAAAAGAAAGTTTGTCACTGTGAATCTGACATTTCCAAGCACGGTAATCTAAGGCACAAGAATCAATTTCACAATTGATGCCAGTTATATTTCATGGAATAGGTTTGCTTCTTTTTATTATTATCCCAAGCTGGGATGTGTATCCAACATTTCTGCTTAATTGACTATAAGTTTTAAACCTTCTGACAAAAACAGTTAGCACGATGTCAGAAGACGACTCAAGTCAGCTGGCCCAAGCAGTCTCACTTGAAACAGGCCACGATAAAGTACAACAGGAGAGGCTGTGGACAGTGCAACGCATCACAGCCCCGCCATCGCTGACACGAAAGGATAAATCGAAACTGAAAGAAATCAACATCCTGCTGCTTTTCATCCTGCTGGGCTGAATTTAAAGAAATGCACAAATGCATAAACCCTGATTTTGTGTGCATGAACCCCCGTGACCTGTGATTTTATATGGATTTGGTGTATACTAAACCAAATGCTGGACATTTAGTAAAACAGTGGGGAGAAGATGCACAATTAGTCCACAGTGCATTGCAAACGCCATTCACACTACCAGAAAAAGACAATGAGGATGCAGGGCTGTTTAGTAGGAATTTACTATTAACAAATATTTGTAATATTTGACTTGTGTGATACAATTAATTTCATTTTCAAAATATTTCAAATAAAGAACGTAAGCAGTAGTATATTTATTTACTGTACTTTTGATCCGACAGCATTTTGAATTTTGGTTTAATATGTAAAGTATAAACTGGCCGTAGACAACTTGCACTGCAGACTGTAATTCTGGCCAGTCATGAGTGTTATGAGATGTTTAGAAATCTGCTCACCTTCAAGTTCACTTAAATTATTGTTAAGAGTAAACAGCATTTTGAATGTTTTTAATGCAGTAAGGAGTACCACTACCAGACAGAAGTGTCTGAGACGTTTATGTCACTTTTACAGTGGCACCAATACATGTGGCATTTTGGAACCAATAGGAGCTGGGAGCCAAACAGTATAGCACTATACAGCACTAACAGTACATCAACTGTTCAAGTAATTCAGCTATTATTAGCTTCATTGCTCATGTTCTGACACGTTATTCAGTGTTTACAAGGTATAAAGCTTTTAAGAGAAATTACTCCAGTGAAGTGCAGCCAGATACATTTCCAGGCTTAAAAGAATGTCCTATAATGACCAGCTAAAACAGCAGAACCTTCTCAGTATTATACAGAGGTGGACCTTATCCAAGTTTTCAAAGGCATTAACAACATCAACGCAGTGAATTTCTATCATCACAGAAACACATATCCTAGATCGCAAGTACTGTAGAAGCCAAAACCCTGGTTTCTTTCAACAAAGAAAGACAGTTATATCAGCTACTATCTCATTCTTCTCATTTGTAAGCTTGCGTTCATATAAAAAAAAAAAATCCCAGCACCTGTGAGTGACAACGTATGAACAACAGTCTGAATGAGTTGTCCAGGACAGAATGCAAAATAACTTCAAAGCGAGTGTAGTACATCCACAACTTAAATGTAAAAGCTCCTCGTGATATCTTCTATGTAAAGATCAATCACTAAACAGGAGTAGCAGCCTGTGGTAAATTTAGTGTTTCAGAATGTG